TGTAGAATAGACAGAAGGTTATTGTCTAGTTAATTAGGCTTAAGTGGTAAGCAATCTGTAATTAATATGTTTTAGAATAGACAGAAGGTTATCATCTAGTTAATTACGCTTAAGTAGTAAGCAATCTGTAATTAATATGTTTTAGAATAGACAGAAGGCTATTGTTATGTTAATTAGGCTTAGCTTGTAAGCAATCTGTGATTAATATATGTAGAATAGATAGAAGGTTATTGTCTAGTTAATTAGACTTAAGTAGTAAGCAATCTGTGATTAATATGTTTTAGAATAGACAGAAGGTTATTGTCTAGTTAATTAGGCTTAAGTAGTAAGTAATCTATAATTAATATGTGTAGAATAGACAGAAGGTTATTATCTAGTTAATTAGGCTTAGCTAGTAAGCAATCTGTAATTAATATGTGTTAAGGTTTACAGGGCCCTTTAAGCTAGATGCAAAAGCTAAATGTGCAGTGGTGACTATAGTACTAGTCTAGAGCGCAACTCTATGCTCACAACTCTTGCATAAGCTAAGGAGGGGTCATATGGGAAGCGAGTTAACAAGGTAGTGAGATCTAAACAAGGTGGATTAAACGAGTGTATTGTAAGGTCTGAGGAGCTTAATAGAGCTCTGAGCTGACTATATACTGTACGAAATAGGAGCTATGCCTAATGAGTGAATAGTGCAGTACATGGGTATGATATCGCGTGAGACACGTGCGACATATATAGTGGTCTCTCTCGTTCTTATAAGGACAGGGCTCCTACTTAATACTATCGAGCGCACTTCGATTATCGCTCTCTATGCCTTCTGCGCAACAACCTTCGTTCTCCACTTATAGATCGTGTATCCGAGAGCAGCCACACCAGCAACGGCGCCAGGAACGGCAAGGCCTATCTTGATCTTATCAGACGTGGTGAGCCCTAATGATCTATTTATTGCCTCTGAGGCAGTGGCGCTCGGCGGTGGAGGAGTTGGTGAATCGCTCCTTGTCGTCAGCGACATCGGAGCCGTAGGAGAAAGCGAGCTGTCAGTACGAGGCGTGAATGTAGCAGATAACGCCGGCGAGAGCGCTGCCGTGGACGCAACCCTGGGCCGAGAAACAATCTTCGTGCCGGCTTCATTCAGCAAGAAGCCCAGGTTGCCATCGCAACATGTTATATTCGCATTGTTGCAACACCATGAATTGTCCGCGCAGCGCGTAGCTTGCGTGTAACCGTGTCCGTCGTTACCTAGGACAAGTTAGCAGTATCCGAATGCTAGCATTAATGCGCTGTGCTGAACAGCAGCAATATATCATACCGCATTCATTCCAGACGGCCGAACACACCCCACCTTTTCGGTCCAAGTCCGTGCAGGCGACAACGAAGTATTGTCCGGCCATGTCACCTGCATGACTGAGACAGAGTCCTTGGATGCATTCGTCGTCAGGGTATGAGTCAGTGCGGTTGAGGTAGCAGCACATTGACGAGTTTGTGCATTGACGTGGATATATGTCGGGTTTTCCGTCGAAACCGTAGCATGTCGGCGGGAGAGACGAATATGTTGCTAATGGAAGCAAGAGAAGGGAAATTAGGAAAGCAGAAAATGGCAACACGGCCATGATAATAACGAAGAATGATGTATTAGACGCTAACAGGGATCGATGAGCTTTTGACGGATGTAGTTTGCCCCTGAAATGGGGCATCTGCGGATTAGCACCGGGAGAAGCTCGGGCCATAGAAGAACATCGAAAATTCCTTGATATGCGGGACAGGCGAGCCGGTCGCTGTGCTAAAACCACAGCGTATATGCTGCTTATCTCACGAGTCAGACCCTTAACCTAGAATTGCCTTTAACTTATTTAAGAATAGACGGAACTTTTAAAACTTCTAACCTAATTAAAACTTCTAAGAACTTCTAGAAACTTTTAAACTAATTAAAACACACTAAATAAAAAAGAGGCAATTCTATTCTAAAGGTCTAAGAGAAAATAGTAGTTATTTATATGTATTTTAATTTATTTATTAGCTATTAATGTTGCTATTTTTAACAGTATACTTTACTCTCTAATACTATGTTAAAATTCTTAAAATTGCTATTATTATAAAGCGCTTATTTTGCTTTATAATATATATTAAATATAAACAATGCTAGCACTCTATCTAACGCGCTAGCAGACGCACTAGTAGACGCGCTAACTATAGCTTTATTTAGCAACCTCTCTTTATTATTAAGCCTACTTTTTAGGCTCTTTTAGCTAATAAGTGACCCTCTAATTAAATAAAATAATAATATGTTTATGCTAGATTAACTTATAAACTATAATAATAATATAGGTGCCTCTAGTAACTTTACCTAGGTAGGCAAGGTCTCTAGCGCCTTTATACAGCGTTATAGTTCTATGTTGTAGCGTAAGAAGTTACAGTACATAGTAGACATGTTACAGACTGTCTAATAAAGCTTTTAAGACTTTATGCTAAAATAAGTAGATAATAAGAAGAATAATACACTCTTTAAGCATTACTAGTATTATAAGGCGCGTAACAGGCAGCGCCTGTTAAAAACTTTAATAAACTTACTCTATAAAATAAAAAGTCTTTTATAAAAAAAATGTAATAAATTATTATACTTTAAAGCTAAATTAGCTAGTATAAAAAATATACTTTAAAAAATTTAATTTTAATATAGATATATTAATACTTAACTTTAATAATGCTAGTTAGACTATTTAAAATTAAGCACTAACTTAGTACAACTTTATTATAAGCATATTATATAATTTACGCTAGGGATATGTAAGCTACTAGAGTGCTAATAAGTCTAATGTAATAAAGAAGCGCGTGTTTACTATTACTAGTATTATATACTTTTTTAGGCTAAAAAGAGATTAAACACTTTAGCTTTTATGCTAGATGCTTATTTTATTAAGTTTAAAATAAAGTGTTACGTAATTAAAGTCTTAAGTAGACTTAAGTTATATTATTAATATTATTATGCTAATAAGCTAATAAATAAGATTGTAGAAAAAGCTTAAGTATATATACTATTTAGTACCTTTAATACTTTTAATACTTTTAATACTTTTAATACTTTTAATACTTTTAATACTTTTAATACTTTTAATACTTTTAATACTTTTAATACTTTTAATACTTTAAAACTTTTAGAACTTCTAAAACTTCTAAAACTTCTAGAACTTCTAAAATTACTTATAAACTTTTAGGCTAATAAGAACTAATAGTGCTAAAAAGAATAAATTATAAGTTTTTATAAAAGACTTAAAGCAAGTACTTATGTATAATAACATTAACTTTATAAATTACACACGCTATAAGAAGGCAAGCTATACAGCTACTATACAAAGCATAATAAATACTGTAGCTATTTGTTACAATCCTTACTTCGGCGAAATGGTATTTTCGGAAGTACGTCGGCCTATGGGGGTGTGTTAGCGGTAGGGAATAGACTTAGCTAGATCGGGTGTACAGTCCGTCGAGCGGAGTATAGGGAGGAGAGAGAATGAGAGTAGGCAGGTTGTGGTTTGACCTAGCGGCTGGTATAGGGAGCCAGTAAACCTAATCTGTTAGGATAGGGTTAGAGGTATATATAGTGCAAGATATACAAGGCAACAATGTTTCCTTTGTAAAGGTTTTAATTATCTCTTAGTTTATAAAATAAGTAAAGACTAAATAATAAACTAAACAGTAATCACAACCTTCTAACTATAGTTGTAATTAAGACTATATACATAGGTTTGCATGCTTTGCATGTCTGCATGCTGTTTCTAAAACTACCTGCATAGCCTGCAAGCCTGCAAGTCTATGTGTCTTATTAGATGATGCACTTAGCAAGACCTTTCTCTAAAAGCTAAAGCCATTTCTTATCTATCCTGTCACGTAATTCGTCTAGCGCGGGGCTAAGCGCTTTCTATCTAACATTGTACAGGCTGTGTAGGACAGCTAGTTAGGTTATTACAGTCTGTCTGTTAGCTGTAACACGCAGGCTTCCCTCCTAGTTAGCGTCCTTGCTGTTATGTTCTTTCTACTGCAAGTGTTAGATTTTCTTTATAGCTAGTAGGTTTTCCTTTTTAAAGGCTAGTCTTATGTTAATCTTTTTTAACTATGCCTTACTAGGCTTCTTGTTTATCTGCTATTATGTGTTGCCTTTGTACTATTACTTATCTTAATCCTTTTTGTTGTATAAAGATGCGTCTGTGTAGTGCCTGTTGCTTAAGCAGGTCCTTTTACATAATGTCCTTATTATTAGATAAGTGTATTAAGTGTGTGCAAAAAAGTAGCTATTGCAATGCCTTTATGTCTAATGCAGCCTAGGATTAGTTAGAGCGTAAGCGCGAGAGATTGTTAGCAGAGGCAGAGGTGGCTTAAGAGAATAAGATGCGTAAAAAGGAGGAATTAGTAAAATGTCTTTAATTAATTATTTTCTGTAAAAAAAGGATTTAGAAACAGTTAAAGGTATTAGAAGATTAAAGGGTAAAGTATTTAAAAGAAGACTTTTTATTACTAGATAAGCTTAAAGCGCTTAAGGCAAAAGCAGCAGGTCTTCCTCCTCCTTAGCCTATGTTAAAGGGTTGTAGGCTTCCCACATTGCAGCTAGCTAATGCTGGTGTTTTAACTAATAATAGTGTTTTCTAGTCTAAGGAGCTTTCTCTAGGGTGGTTTTGTTTAGAAGGGACCCTAGGTATTTGTAAAGGGCCTAAGGGGCATTTAACAGGCTCTTAATAAGTTCCTAAGTGTTTTTACTAGTAGGCTATCCTTTTTATTTTATTAGGTACTTGTTTTCTTTGTAGTCTAGAATTTTCTCTACTTTGTATTCTTGTTCTTCCTTCTTTTATTTAGTAGTTATAAGTAAGATAGTCTTAAGCGTAGGTTTAAGTTTAGAGACGTAGAACTAGAGGTAGATCTGCATTTCTTTTAGAAGTTTAAGTTTGCAGATGCTAGGGCGCGTTTGTATTACCTAGTATAGTCCTATGCGTTTTTCTGCTAGTTTTCTTAAAGGTCTAGGTGTCTTAAGGTCTTTTATGTCTAGATATACATAATTATTTAAGTGTATTTCTAGCGCTAGTTCTTTTTTTTAATCTACTGCTTTTTTTATATTTTCTTAAGCTAACTAGCTTTCTCTAGTAAGCTTTTAGTGTAATTCTAGAAGTTTAGTTATATAATTTATTGCCTTTAAGAGGTTAGTTAGTTGCAAGTTATAAAGCTTGTATTATAGGAAATATCTAAAGTTAGCTTTATATAGGGTTTCTTTAGTAGTTACTAATTTTATAGTGTTTATAATAAATTATGCTATTAGTAACTATTTTATCTAATTTATTTATTTATAAGAGATGTACTTACGTAAAAACTTCTCTACTTTTATATTTGCTCTTTCTGTTTGTCTGTCTGTTTATAGGTAATAGGCAGTAGAGAGCTTATAGTTAATTCTAAGATGCTTAACTAAGGCTGTCTAGAATTTGCTAGTAAATAGTTTGTTACAGTTAAAGATAATAGTCTCTAGGCAGCTATAAGTAGCAAAGACATTCTTTTCTAATTTAAACATAAATTCTTTTGCTATAATAGTTTTTTCTAATAGCTATAGGTAGACAAATTTAGTAGTTTTATTAATAACTTATGCAATTATATTGCATAACCTTTTAGTGCTAGGTTTCTGTAATAGTAGTAGTCTAGTAATAAAATCTATAGTTATTATAGTCTATAGTTAGCTTAGCGCTATAATTAGTTAGAGTAGTCTATAAGGTTTGTAACGCTAGGGATTGTTTTTGTTATAAATGTTGCATTTCTGTAGGACTTTAGTACACAAGTGTTTTAATTAGGGTACTTCTTTTAGTATAGCAGTCTTAATCTTTTTTTAGAGAGATCTAATTCCTAGGTGTCTAAACATAGAGGCTTTATAATATTCTTGTATTAGGTTTTTTTATTCTTGCTTAATTATTGTAAGAGAGCATAGTAGTTCCTCTTAATTTAGTCCTTTATAGACTAGTTCTTCTAGCGTTTCCCTAAAGATTGTGAATTTTTTAGAGTTTTCTTTAACGTACTTCATGGGCGAGTTGCTCACACACCCGAGTCGCTCACTTTTGCCAAGACCCCACTAAACCACTCTTCCTACACCAATGCATTCCCCACAACACTACTTAGACGCGCTAAAAGAACGTTAGATACAGCTTACGCTCTAAGCTTTTAAATAAGACATAAAACTCTTAAAGAAATGTGCTGTAGCTATGTGCAGAGTCTTATAAAAGACAACAAATAACTACAGCGCTAGACAACCTTTACAAGCTAATTCTACAGCTAAATCACAAAGGCTAGGCAATAAAAAGAAGCAGGTGATTGTTAAGACTATACTTAAGCTATATGCGCGAGGAATTTCCCCTTAGATAGCATTTGTGGCTAATATGGCTAATTCTTTGCGCGCTAAGCGTAATCTAGGCCATGTTCGCATAAACTGGCCTAGTACGTTTGTGAAGCGTTATTTAGAGCTTAAAGTAAAGTTTTAAGCGCAAGTATAGTTAAGAGATATCTGGCTGATTATAAACCCTGTCTTGCTAAAGTTGTAGGTGTTATCATCCTAGATGCTATACTTAGCTTTAATATTCTCCACAAGGCTAAACCTGCCCTGAATTACCCCAGGACTCTCGCAGAGGGCTCTCTTATAGTTGTACTTACGCTTAAAC